CGGATAACCCCACCGGTTGTCCGGTGGGGGTATCGAAAATAAAATAAATACCGACGCTATACATCAAGCGGCCAATGTCTGATTTCTTTTTCAATTTAAATTAATGAACAAAAGCAATAACTGCAATTACAACAACTGTTTCATCGACATTCAATCACCGTAGGTACAACTGAATACATTTCTGGCTAAGAACTTGTTAAGTATTCTGTCTCTTGAAAACATTTATCGGCCACTTAAATAGTTTAAAAAAAACTTTGTCCTGTGCAATAAAATGTCTGGACTAGCAACGGCGTGAATACTGTCCGTTTTACAATCGATTTATGAAGTTTATCGAAATGTGCCTGCGTTAGGAATATAGTGACAGCGAAATATAACTCTTATTTGTATATAAAGAGGGATTATAATGTATGATTGAGTATACATGTACATTTGAAAACCATCTCGCGGAATTCAATTTGCATTTTTATTATGACATGTGAAAACTATAAACCAGCCATGGAATCCTTTACAAGACACTGAATAGGAACATTATGTTTTATAGTGCCTGGAATATTTGAACAACATAATGTACCTTTTGAATGCCATTGATTGAAGTTTTAAACATTTATTTTTCAAAAAAAATCTGTTGGACCTAGAACTATTCAAAAATGTTTATGATCTATATCTAAATTACAAAGAAAACAAAACCGTTATTTTAATGCGACAATCTAAAGAGTTATTCAGTATATCAAACGTTGAAGGAATCTTTAAACTATTCCACTGAATCAGCCCATTTTATCCCCGTGCGTCATAAAACATTCCAGTCTATACTCGCAGAAACATACTAATATCTTATGCATTGCACTTTATGTTTTTTATTCTGTGGTAGAGGTTTTTTTGTTGTGACTTGTGAAAAGTGATGGCGCCATCCTAATCACTGTGAAGAAGAATAATATTAATGTTAGAATTGTGTATTTATATATGTCAAATGAATTGTGCATCCTAAATGCTCTTCTGCACAGTTTGTGATGGCTATCAAATACTTTGTCGGATTTGTAGGTTTCTAGGTATACATGTAATGAACCCTTGTAAATATTTGTAGTACATAAAAAGCAGATGACCTATGATCAACGTCTACATTTTTTTGCGGTGCACAAATTTATTTACAAAGTCATTAATGATGATTTCGTTACTTAGTTGTTTTGTTTAATCGGCTTCAATATTGAGAATCGCTAAACTATTTAAACGGTCTTCAAAAATCTGTGAGCGAAGATAATTCTTCTCTTTTCAGAACCGAAAATGATCTTTCTGTATCAGTGACAAACGGCAGTGCACAAAAAGATGCGTAGCGCAATTTCCGTGTATTTAAAAGCTTCTTTCAGGTCTCTTTTTTTTATATAGAGATTTAGCTGTCTCAAGCTCATATTTTGTTCAATCGCTTTCAAAAATGTTTTAAGAGAACACATTCTTCTTGTAAATCTGCCGCAAGATCTTTCGGGTACGATTGCTGCAGATTTTTGGCGTGAAGTCGGAAATGCGCTTCAGACAATATATTTATTTTAGACAAAGAAGCTAAATGTTCGGTTACTGCGTCATATAAAATCTTGCGCCACTTTAGCTCTCTCAACAATTGGTCGCATACAGGAAAGAAGGCATATCTATATTCCAAATGCAAGCAAATATTAGTATTGAAGCCAGGGCTAATATTATAGCTTTATTTGGGCTTAATATCTGAAATATCCAGGAAAACCCGCTTAAGTGTAAGTTATTTTGATGGACTGCGTGATGATAATTGTGGTGTACGATTTCATTTTATAATCTCAATCTCAGTATTGGGACGAAATGTCTAGTAACAATATTTTTTTTAGAAAAAAAGCTGTGGGACGTTGAGTGAAAAGATTTTTAACCAGTCGCTACTTGTTAACCAGTCTTATCATCATCATCAACAGCCTATAAAAGTCCACTGCTGAACATAGGCCTCTCCTTAGAAAGGAGGCTTTGGCTGACTCCAGCCTCAGCTTAGTGGTTGATGGATAGATGCTTAATGGTTAGTGAATGTGACACAAATGGTTCCAAACTAACTGGACTCCAATAACGTCGAGGTTTCGAACGACATAAAGCTACCTACTTTGCTGTGTGCTCCCAGTTTATTCCGTGGAAGAATTTAGTGAACTTATTTAACTTAAGATAACTGTGCGATATACCGTGCTGGTATTATGAGTGAATGGTTTCAGTCTCATCATGTTAAGATCATCATCATCATGTATAGAAAACGTATGGTGTTTAGTGGCTGCGTCTAGTGCATGCGTCCACTTCTTATAGTATTATAAACAATGGAGGTCACACTTAGTATTAACAAAACTTAACGTTATATTCAAATTAGAGGATGCGCTGGCTGTAATAGTAATAAGTTTATAATTGTAAAACAGAGGTCAAGCTTCAATCTTATTTTCCTTGAGAAAATGAACATATTAAACTCAACCTTTAAAAACAACAAGAACAAATTGTATAACTAAAATAGTTTATGAAAATATTAAACTTAAATGTGTTTATTTTAATGTTTAGTTTTTTAAAGGTTTCGTCATCAAGTGTGGAAGTAAGCTAATCTTACTATTATACCACTGGTTCTAAGGACTACTGTGTTGAATTTAAGTAAAAGTTAGTTGAATTGCTCTAAAACCAAAGCAAAAAGCAGTGGGCCAGGGGCGGCTGCGCCCCCCTCAGACCATTGGCGCCCCGAGCCATGGCCCGGATATCCCTAGGGTAAATACGCCCCTGATCATAAACTAAATTTATTGATTACAGTTGAATGTTATTTAGCATTTATAAGACGCCTATGCTATAAACATGCATTTTGTGAAGGTGTCAAAAGATGTTAATTAAAATTCATAGGTATACTTTACATACAAAAATACTGTCTTCATTTTACTAAAATTGCTAAAAATGAAAATGAAACTATTCACGGTTTAAAAAGTGTCGGTCTAACAATAATTAGTACCTAATAACTTATTTAATACTTCAAGGTAGGAAACATAAAATAAATAGTTTATTAGATAGTGGTAGTAAAGACGTGCTTTTACTAAGAAGTATTTGGCAAAATTAAAATGGAGACACGAATACAAATAAGCACTCACGAGAACCGGTAAATAATGTCTCACTCAGTTTTGAAATCTAAACTTGTGGCTAAGATTTAAAAAGAGCGATATGTGAAACGACCTTAATCAGTAAAAGAGGTAAATATTAACGGTAAAAAAGATAATTAACGTAAACCAAGCCACCCAATGGTTTATTACATAATTGATGTTGTCAGCGGTTGAATGGTTAATTCGTTAATGGAGCCAGTTCTAACCCTGGTAATGGCGAGAGGTCTAACGGTACAAGAGTACCAAAGTTTGTTGATTAATTAACTTTTTAGTTGGTGACGCTAATGTTTACGACTGCTGTCTTACACTTCGCCGAAGAGTGATCATGTGTCATGTCACTTCTTAAAGCGTTTGTAAGCCGAAACTGCCCTACTTTAGACAAGACAATTACAAGTGTCGAGAAATTTAGGCTTTTTTTGCTATCAAAAACTTATTCTCCATCCTCTTTAGGGTTACGTGCCTCAAAAGGTAAAAAACGAACACTCTCTTGTCCGTCTGTCCGTCTATCTATCCCGGTCCTGAGAAAATCATATCCATCGTATATTATTTTCTCAGGAACGGGTGGACAAGCAAGCAAGCAGCAAAACGTTGAAATTTATACCAGATACTGAGGTCTATAGGTCCCCCTATTAGGTGTAAAAAATCAAGGTCCTGAGTCAACACGATTAAAATAAATGGGAAAATTTAGATTTTCGCGAAAACTTGTAAGTACCAAAAATTACCTTAGTTTTTAACATTTTTATTTTTCGGAATTTTCTCTTAACTCGTGCTGTAAGGCCTTCCTTTACTAAAATTGACAATTCTTGGTCAATCGGAACCTAAAGGTTTTGGGTCGAAAATCTATATGGTAGTTCCCGTTGACGTAGAATCACGAAATATAGCAAAAAGCAAGGTCTTAGAGCACAAATGAAGTAGGTATGTAAATAGAGTCTCACACCAATCCCCATAACAATGCTATAATGGTAAGAGTTTTGAGGAAATAGATCTCTATAGAATCTTTATCAGTAGTATTCCACCAGCTTTTCATAGCTGGAGTATCCTGTACTATATAAAAGTTAACCTTAACTGTCTTTACGACCGCTACCTTAGAAAGAAGAAATTTTTGTCACTTTGTTTGATTGTGGACTTTGTGTATTATTATCATATTATATAATTAACATACAATTAGCTAACCAACTTTATCGAGTAAAAGTAATGTTAAACTTATCGAACACAACGGCTGTTGTTTTTAAAGCATTTGTTTTTTTTTTATATATTTTACTACTATCTACGATTTAATAATTAAATAAAATGAAAAACAATATAACTTTGATACGAAATAGGAAGTCATTATCAATTCCTTCCTTCCTTCCTTATTAACGTATAAATTCGAAAGAAACCCTGACGTATGCAAATAAGAATCCCAAATTAATAAATTAACAATAAAAAGGTACGTATCTTCTGCTTCTTATTCGATTAAGACGTCGGTGGTGAGTATTTTAAAGCAGTACGGTAGTCAGATCAGGGTTTACACTACGTTGATGTATCCTTTGTTACCACTAAGTAATTAAGCCGAGTATCAATTGCGACTTTATTAGCAGTGGTGCGTGGTGATCGGCGGCCGCCCCTCCCAGTTCTGCTTTCTACACGCGCGATTTCACTGACGGCGCCTGCGTAGTCTACAACGATATCAACTGCTTTTTGTATTACTACATGGCATATTTCATTAAAATTTATAGATTAAGAAAGGTGGGATGTTGCATATTAATATAATTATTCATAAATTCGATTTGATTTGATTTAAAAGTATGTATACAGACAGAGCTTTCTCCAAAGGTGCCAAAATATTTAAGTACTTGAGTAGCCAGAAGCACATTCTTCAACAGGAATTTCAAAACAATGAACAAAATTTTATCCCCATTTACTTCAGCAATGCCCGGTAGTATCAATGTACTAGATAAGGCAATAAATTCTGCGGGTCTCACAATAGGATTCCTCGTACATTTCTTGCGCCTGAGCTTGCGCTCCGATATCAAGCACGCCGAGGCTTTCTTTAAGACTGCGTGAGTCATATCTGAGTTAGGATTGAGATCATCTGACTAACGCAAAACCATTACATATTATTTTACTACTTGTTTTGGATTAAGGACTTAATCAATTAAGTAAGAATCTCTGAAGAATGCGTAACGATCATCTTTCTTTGACAGTAATTTAAACTTTGTGTTTGTTACTGTCTTAATGTAACGTTCCACACAGGGATCCTCGTAAAAAGAAATGAACTCTATAATTTGACACTAAAATTATATTATTACATGCAATGCAATACTGGCAACAATATAAACTTCTTGCTTATCAATCGTGTGTCTCTATGCTTGTAATTTTAAAACGAGTTATGTTATGACATGACTGAGGCCTATGAGTCACGTAGACCTAAGGATTATAAGTGGTTCTTTTAATTTACTACATACATTGTGTATTATGACTGATTCATAAAACACATGAAAAGTCGTAATTTAATCTCTTTACGTAGATCAACTAAATTATTATAATTACTATGCATTACGTGTTACGTTGTTGAATTAAACTCACACACACATATTCCGGCTGTATTATGTCCAATATCCGTTCTATTGTGAATTTTTATTTCATAGGTCGAGGCAAAGATTCGTAGTTTAATCAAACTGTTAAGGTAGTATTGTGGAAGTAAACGTCACTTATGCCTAGTGGTAAGTGGTACCCAGTAAAAAAGATGAAAATTCTTCATTTACCGCACGTTCTTTCTAAAGTAGATTTATGAAGTGTTGGAGAATACGATATCTAAAAAAAAGTTGGGTTCAAACAACCACATGTTTTTATGCATACAGCGGGATCTTTAAAGTAAATCAAACAATTTGAATACACACCGAATGAAGGACGACCGACACACGTGTCTGCAAACATTTTCGGGCCTTATTTGTATAAAACTGAGGTCTTAATGATCTTTGTTGTTTGTTGATCTATGGTTTGCCTTTGTATATTCAAACTGAGTTTTCACAGTATGTTATAATGCGTTACTTAACGTCCTTAGTTTGAGGCCATTTTTTGACCAGTCCCCGTAGCGTAGGCGGTTGATGCGTCAATGACCTGCAAAACTTGCGAATCCGCATTCAGCAGGTAGCACAACGACTTACTTCGATAAAAAAAACTATTGGCTTATTGTCTGATAAAATGCCATCAAAATCAGTTATGATTGCATTAGCTGCAAGAAATAACAGCATTGCTTTAACATACTCGATGCTTGATTGTAATAGATTAACATTAGGCTTACATTATCTGTTTCTATGGGCTAAGAGACTTTATCTTTTACTTTCTTACAGCAGTAGAAATGCTTTCAGTATGTTTAGGGGTGTCAATCGGGGTTTATAATCAAAGCATTTCTTGAATTGCTCGTCAGAAGGCTTGTCATTTACAACTAGTTCCGTGACCTCGCTCACGCATTCCCGCGCCTGCACCTAACTGTACTTTCCCGTTGACTTAATACCGACTTTGGACAGAACCTGATCTTAGGCAAGTGAACATTATAGCGTTGAGATGGCGATCGGTTGTTGCAATTTAATTATATTTTGTGTATGCGAAGCGAAGCGGGTGTTGCGTAGATCCCAACGGACCAGCCGAAGCTGTAGCCTCTGGCCCTGCGTGCCGCGCATTCCAACCGAGTGCCGCCGAGGCTAGCCGAAGCGGCCCGAGCGTGGTAGTGTTGCCCGCGGCCGACTTCACACCGGAGTATGCGCGAGCGCGGCGAGAACGTCTCGTTTGTCTGCACACGCTATCTGTCAACAAACTTCTCCGTCGAAAATAGCTGGCAGCTCAACTTTCGAGTTATCCTTTGCAATATTGACTGGTTTATTGTGTAGTGTGATATTTTAGTGACGAACTTGTATCGTAAGTTTGGCATTGACACTGGAAGAACCGTGTTATTTTTTCTTTTGGATCGCGTGCAACGCTCGCCGTGAGCTGGAAGCCTCGGACGTGTGTGAGTGACTGTTCCGTCTACCTACATGGAAAGTAGCCCTTGCTGGACCCTGGTGTATTAAAGCTTTCCACCGGATTATGTGTACTATGATTTACGGTAAATAAATCTCTTATGTGGAGTGTTATTTTGTGTTAACTCAGCGGGTGACGATTCTATGGCCTCGATGCTTACCATGGTAGTATGCCGGTAATATAACTTGTAACGTGTAGACATCACGACATTTGAAATGTAATTATTACGAAATTTTTTATTGACTTAACATACGATCTCAGTTTTTTAAAGACCTTAATCAAGATGAGATATACCTACCTAGATAACACTCATGGCAAGAGAAATTACTATATTATTTCAATTTTTTGTCAAGTAATCAGACATTGATAACAATACTAATATGTTCAAAGGTTGTAAGGTATGTTCAAATTTAAACAATACAATCTCGAAAGATCCCTTAATCCAATACGTGAACTGTCTGTTTCTTCTCGCTATAATTTTGATTTGTCAAATCACCTGTTCATTCATAGACTGTATTGCACAGATTAGGTACTTTGTAACGAGCACTTCTTACTCTAGAACGGAATCAGAGTCTATAAAGTTATCGCATAGTAATGATCAAACATATAATTTTACTAGTTATTTCCTTGAGACAGGCTATAACGTGCCAATCATCAGAATACGTACGTTCACCAACGGAAATATCCGACGTTACTCTGGCACATACTCATGCATAAAACCGGTAAGGTAAAAGGTTGTATAGACAACTACTATTCTCATTGATTTCTTATAATTTAAACGTAAATTTGTCCTTACTAGAAATACTATTTAGTATTGACATATGATTTATAATTCCAGCCAAGGCTGATAAGCGAAAAAACCTAAGTCCACCGTTATATTTTGGGTACAGAAAAGAAGTAAGAAGTATTTCTAAATACAAGCAACTTAAAAAATCTCTTAACAATTCACAAATTAAAGGAGTGTGTTGACTACCTAAGAACATTAGATTTGTCACGTCATAAGTGTAGGTAAATTCCTTCATCAGTTGAAAGAAGAAACACTATCATTTAGTTAGATATTATTATTTCAAACAAAACTCATGATCTTGTAGTCCTGTTCATAATAATGTTACGTTTCATTCCTCAATATATAAACATATAAAATATATAAACGTCTAAACGTGTTTGTATTTTGAGATTTTATTTTCTAATAAGCGGTAACTAAGCTACGTATAAATATTGCGAGATGTTTATACCTGAGTACCTTGTCTATAATCTTTATTTCCTCTTCAAATAGAATTCACATGAACATCGTCGTCAACGACCGCATCGTTAGTGGTAATAATTTCTTGTTTGTAACCAGTTGTTACCTCTGATTTCTATCCCTAGCGTAAACATCCGCGACTGGCTGCAATGCTTGTTTGGTAACTAACGCTTTCTATTCCCGGATTATCCATAGATCCGTAAGAATTGTGCCTATAACCTCCATACAGTAAACCACTTCTCTCTCACACTCTCTTCGACTCTTCTTTCAGGTATATACTGCATTTGAATTTTGTCATAAGTCATTATAATGTAGTTAGCGTACTTCGTAATAGGTGGGTATGAATGTATTCATAATCCGTGTCGTGAATATTCTTGCATGGCTTTCGATATTCATAAATTTGCTGATACGAGCCTTGTTGCTCACACCATGTGTAATGTTTGCAACTATATTTATAATCTTTATTCTAAGAATTGCTTACACAGAGCAAGCGTTAAATAAAATAATTACGAGTATTGTATTCATTCGCTAAAGTAGAATGAAATAAAAGATAGAATAATTATGGTTTTTGACATGAATGGAAATAGGTCGTACTATGTGACTAGACCACATAGTAAATAGGGTTAGCGAAGTAGGGCTTCACATGTTTACGTGTGCAGATGCTTTGACTAAGGATGCTCTCGTCTGGCTTACTCACGCGTGAAGCTTGTTGATCAATACCATATTGAACAGGATTACTTCCAAGTAATTTGTTTTATTCTATCTAAAATTCAATGAAATTTCCTACTCGAGCGAGTCAATGTAAAATACTTTAAATTAAGCTTTGTTGACACGGAAGTGACAACACTAATAGAAACAAATAATATAATTTTATTATAAATTCAAACTGCTTAATAATTCAGCACAATGCAAATAAAGAGTCAAATTAATAAGGCCGTAATTTAAATACAATCTACCGCTTCAATTCTCATCACTGAGATTGTATTTGTAAATTAACCGAAATCTTTATCTGTGTTGCCACGGCGAATAAAATGAAGCGTATTAAATAAGTAATTTAACTAAGAAAAATACCTTCAAATCTACTTGTCATTTTGAAATGATATAGAATAGACCTATGTAATTGTTATAACTATGTCAATTGGTGCCTATTGAATCTTTTTGTGCTATGTTTGTCATTGACACAGTGATTTCTCTAATTATCACTAAGGTCAGTCCAATTACACATTCATGGATATAATTTTTAAATGCTATTAATGAAGTATACCCACTCTTTTTTGATAGGTTAATATTCTGTTGTTTGATTACTCAATTTGTTGAGCTAATGGGTTTGCTCAGAATCAGAGTTGATGCTTATATTTTGAGATTCATATTTTTTAAATGTATTTTTGAATGTTATGATTATCAAAATTTGACATCAAGGCTTGCAGGGGAATTCGTTTTAGGATTCGTTTCATTGGACTGAAATTTATTATGTCTTCGAAATTTTTGTTTTATTTATTCTTACAAGGGTTTTGGCAAATGCTGATAACCAAATTTATTTTCTAGTTTATGTTATTGATAGACACAACAGTTGGTAAAACGTATGTGAGCATAATGGTAGATTTAGGTATCATTTGTAATGTTAAACAGCTTAAAAGATACTACTAAAAATAATTAGCTCATGTTATTTTGTCAAATTCATGCTTCAAATTATAAGTACCTAATAAGTAAACAACTTTACAAGTAATCGTTTTGACGCCTCTTTTGATCGCCTTGACCAAATAAAAGTACCTACTCAGAATATTGAAAGCAATCAATTGTTTTTTAAGGATGCTACGTTTCTGTTGAGAAATTATGTTTTTGTAGACTCGATTTAGAATATCGACGGATTACGGTAAATATATATATATATATACCTGTAATATTTAACAACTTTCACTTCATCAGAAGCGATTCGCAGAAGAAAAGTTGCTTAGTTAGATTCACCCAAAGTATAAAATACCACATTGGTCGTTTTAAAACTAACCTGGATATTATATGCACAAGTGGGTGGAGTTAATGATGCAAGATAAGATATAAATTGGCCTCAGTAATTATCAAATTTCACGCGTCTCGCTATTTATCGAAGAATAAATATTGTTAGCCTGATTTTATCGTTTACGACATACACTAGTTTCATAATAACTGACGTCTAACGTCAACACAGGTAGATATAGTTAGGAAGTTTATAACAATCGAGTGTGAACAGACTCAATTGTACTTGTGAGTAAACTAATCGGCATTTTAGAAAGGGGTTTCGGAGAATACTGTTTAATAGCATAACAACAAAGTATAGGGGGAACTATGGTAACTGAAATAAACTAGATAATTAACTGCTAGAGAGTAATATTATCTAGATAGCTGTAGTATTTGATAGTAGCTAGTGCAAAAACAAAACCGAAGAATCACGAAGGTTGCAGATGAAATTAACTTAGGGTCATCGTTTTGTAAAACGGGGCAATTATGGGATATTTCATTGCTAAATTTAGCAATGTCATCGATTGTCACAATTGTGAAAAGTGAGGCTAAAATAACTACCTAATGAAAATGAGACGTAGGTATACAGCAGAAAGTAAAACAAAGGTACCTAACTAAATTGCTGTCTATGTAGATCATCCTCTTTTGTATTCATTAGTAATTAACCTGACTAAACTCATTGCACTTTCAACTGCTACTGCCGAACCTCCAAAACATTTTAATCCATCCTAAGGTTGTCTGGAAGAGATTGCTCTTAGCAATAAGGCCGCCCCTTGTAAATTACATGTCTGACATTTTTATGATTATACTACTTACTTGTAAAACGGTGTACAAATAAAGAGCTTTCTATCTATCTATCTAACTTTAATCCAGTGAAAATATACACGAAAATATACATATGACTGGTGGCAAGTAGAATACCACTAGTTAAAATATGACCATACCTTTTACGGTGATGCTCGAAATGTATTTTATTTACGGAACAAAATATATCAGTTGCAGAAGCACTTTAAAATACGTCTTGATGTCTCAAGCCCGACGGCGACGTCACCGTAGGTATAATATAATAAAATATTATTTATCAAGCATAGTTAACGTATAGGTTGGTTAGATGAATCAGGTTACGATTACCTTATATGAATCATATAACAAGCAATTTGACTGCACTTACCCTTCTTTTTTTTTCAATTTTATTTAACCGATGATTCTCTGGTTCGGAAATGTCCAGTTTATTTGTGGAACATGTTTTTTAAAAGTGCCTAATCCTCTGTTTATACTGTTTTCGTTACTCCGAACGGATTAACATCTCTTGACAAAGTCGGACTGCATTATACTGTAGTTAAAAGCGGATAGAAAGAATTTTTATTGCTCCCCTAAATGGGACATAAAATTTTATTATTTTTAAGAGAAAGACAAGATAATTAACGGCCTAGAAGGCAGACATTTGTTATAAATTTGTTTTAAACATGGTCAATAGAGCCGACTCTTAGAAGCAAGGTGGATGAACAAATTACTACTTTTAACGTAAATAATACTGTGGCTCTAACATTCAATGATTGTGTTTCATCTTCATAAAA